TCTTGTTGACAAGCTCTATGGGAGGTTTTCATGTTGAGGTAATCTGAAACAGAACAGAGTTGCTATAGCAATTTTGCAAACCTTTTGGGCATCTAATAGTGAAAAAAAAATAGTGAAGTGAAATTTTCAAACTATCAAGTATTAATCTTTTGTCATTTAAGCAATCAAAAACCAATCTTAATACCATCAGGAATTTCCCAGTTTTCTCTGGTAAATTTCAAGAATGGAAAAAAGGTGAAAATTTGGGAATAGATTTTTCATATAAAAATTATTTGCTCACTTTTTCATGTAGGCCAAAGAATTTATGTACATTTAAAATTTTCTACATATAGCCATAATTATTTTCAAATGCATAACAAAAACAATTACTATACTAGTTCCACAAATGTTTTGTAAAGGTTTATATCTGGTTCTGTAGATGCAATATGAATATATATTTATTAGGTAATATATAGACCATCCAAAATACATTTCTAATATGTGAATATTAAAAAACAAAACATTAGAAGATAACAATTAGGTAACTCACAACAGATGGAAAAAATTTACAAGAATAGGACATGGAAAACATAATGCATCATCTAATGAAAAAAAGCAAATCTTTGCTGCATAGACAAATGGGTTTGCTCATTCCATCAAGAATATAACAGGACACAAATAGTGAGTTCTAAAATTTTAAATCACATGTCAGAAAATAAGACACAAGAGCATGTTGTAAGAACATTTTCAAAAAAGCAATTATCCTTATATAGAATATGGGACATTACCAGTATTATTTTATCCTTTTGGGAAATCAGAGGTAAATAATTAGTCCAGCCCAGAAGTAATTAGAAATCTTCATATATTACTAACAGCTATCTGATTACATGACTGTTGCTTTCAGCAAAAAAATCTAAATATTCTTTAGAGATTACCATTGCCAGCAAGTGTTAACAAACAAATCATTCATTAATTGATAGCAAAAATTAGAGTTCATGCTTGATTTTCATCACTGCATTTCCTGGGTAAAAATATGGATGTCTTCCTTGCAGTTTTCAAATATTAGAGGAAATCACATTGTACTTCATACACTTGACATGTTTTCATACATTCATGGCCTCTGTGCCCTGTCCTACTCTTATGGTTATGTATATATGAGATGGACATGAGAACAGGAGCCAAGTCTACTTTTTTCATTTTAATGCTGCTTCTGCTGCCAGTAAACTGTCTTTATGTCTAGCTTCAAAACCTCTCTTTCTTAGTTTGGTCACCTGAATAATGTTTAACTACTTCAAAGCAGGATTTTAAATTATCAATTTAAAATAATGAATATTTTCAGAAAGTCCACTTGACCCTCCCTCCTTTCTATATGTTTTTTCATAGTACCTGCTCTTGACTTCCAATCATCCCCAATAATGATACTTTGCCTCTTAAAAGGGCCACCTGGTTGGTCATCTAGGACACTGTTAAATAATAGTTAAGAAATAAACTACTGGATATTCTGAGCACTGAATGTGTAATCTGAATTGCTGGCTCAATGGACATGAGAAAATCATTTCTCAATATAAAGGGTATATTCCACTGAATAGTACCAGATCCTGAGCCCATGAAACAAATGAGGATTATCCCTAAGGAAATGGCTTTTAGCCTTATGCTACCTGGACTCGGATGGTTGCTTTCAGTGTAACTGTGTACCCTTTCAAAAGACCCTCTTCTCTTCTGTCTTCTACAGAAATGGCATAGCATGTTTTGGCAAGAAATGAATGGAATACCTTTCTGTCCCTATATTCACAATATGATTCAGACAGGTTTAAGATGAGTGTCCTATCCAGACATAAACAATGAATATACAAAATTGCTTCATTTTTGAACCATGTACCTAAGGTTTATTTATCCCTTTCTCATCTCTTTCAAATCTTTTTTATCACCTGGGAAACTAAATTGTATGGCAAGAAGACATTGTAACAATCTTTGCCAAGATCTATAACAGATCAGTTTCAATGCTATTGCAATGTCCCTTATCATTCTATATCTATGAATGGATAGTAATATCCCCCAGGAAAGTAAAGGCATGAATCAATGGGTGCATCTATATGTTCATTAATGTGCTGTAGTTACTGCATATTTAATTTAGTACTTGCTCAATGAAGTACTAACTAAATGCACACTAACTAGAGTTACTAGATTAGTGCCAGCATATGGATTGTTAGTGAAGCTTACTGCACAATAGCCTAAAACTACTGTGCAGTAGCATATTAGCATGGTTTTTGCCCAGCACACTACTGCTTAATGTTTTTAGATAACTGAACATTTAGCATCTTAGGTAGATGTGCCCAATGTGTATGAATTAAATAAGACTGAATGAATACATTTATGTAAGGGAATGTGTGTTATGCTCAGGTATTCTGACCATGTACAGTGGATAATAGGAGATACCCTGAAGAAGTCTTGAAAAATTAGCTGTCTTCCAAAATTCATTGGCTGCTTTTGAAAATGTAAGCCTTATAGACACAAATATAAAATAAGGCTTTTTCAGCTGTTCAAGTTGTTTTTGCTTTCAGCTTTTATACCAAGTTTCCTCCTTACTGGTTCATTAACATGCCCTTAACTAAATTAATATGTATTGAAGGATGATGTTTCTCTTATTATTACTCCAAATGGACAAGCAGTTACCTGAATAAAGTATGACTTTTGGGATAAAAGTGGTGATTGAGTTGTTCATAGGGATCCAAAATAAAGGTAGATGCCCCTCAGAATGAATTGACATGGATAGGGAATTTCAAGTCTAGCCTCCAGTTTAACGCTATCTTTTGTCTACGAATTTCAATACATGCAGCCTTTTAGATTAACACCAAAACGAAGTTGGAATTAGCCCTTGCAAGTTATTGAGTCTTTTTTATATTACTGCATGAAGGCTGTTATTTGTTAGGATTTTTGCTCTGTTCTTTCTAATAACTGCCACATCCTCTAGTTCAGACACCTGTTTTTGTACTAAACAACCATTACCAAGCACAGATTATAGTACTTTCTGACACTGAGGAAAAAGAAGGTGACTTTTATATAAGGGGACCATGTCTCTTAGCTGAGGGGAAGAACATATATGCATGAAGGGGGGCAAGTCATATATTCCCAAGAATCGTCGGCTATACCTACAGTATGAAGTATATGTATTCTGCCTGTCCTTGGCCATATACTGGGGTTACATTTCTACCAAGAAGAATCATTGTTTTTCCAGTAGAAATTGCCAGCACATAGGCATTCAGTCAGTTTCTTGCAAAGGGAACATGCTGCAAATGTGAGAAAGATCTTGTGCCTTGACACCTAAAAGATCTCCTCTGCAAGTGAGTTTCTTCCTCTAAAATGAATGCCTATAGGTTTGACTCCTCTGTGGTTGGGAGGATTTTAGCAGCTGCTTCCCCTGTAGCTTTCCAGTGTAGGAAAAGTATAGGCATATTTCCCTTGAACTCTTCCCATTCTGGAGGCTGTTCTCTGTCTCAGTAAATTGTGGGGACTAGGGGTGGTAGGGAATCCTCAATCAGAAATGCCTGTATGCTTCCTCTTTCAGGAAGATATTCTCAATTGCAAATTACCTAGAATTTTGCAGCAGTAGAAATTAACTCCTGTCCATGGCCTCTAAATCTTCAATCTGGTCTCAAGCTTCTCTCTTCCATGTAGCTGATGTTTATACTTGGTTTTTGTTTTCTTATCTTTATTTTTGTGTTTTTTCTTGTTTTTGTTTTTATTCTGGGTTTTTTCTTTTCAGTGATGCTCCTTTTTCAGCTTCCACCTTCTCTGTAAAATCATTGATCCTAAGTCCACCCAGTTCTCCACAACTAGTATTCCGCTTGTGGGTCTCAGCTCTTTTTCCTCTAATCACCTATTTTCACTCTGAAGCGATTCATAATCATTTCTATGGAAGTTAGCACACTTCCTTAGCCAGGTACTCACAGCCATCCCACCCTCTCAATAGGCACTATTATAGAGGGAGATCAAGGGTTATTCTTTCCCTTAGGCTCTCTTAGTAAGAACCTCCAGAATGGTTGAGTTTTGGGTCCGGTAATGGGTCTTGTAAGGTGCTGTATTGTCTAACACTTAAAATGTGGAAAGACTGAACTGGGAAAACAGCGTGGAAGGTGTTAAAATGTAGTGACTAGAACACTCCTACACTACTATTTTGGGGTTGCTTTAATTTGTGACAGGAATTGGTTCAGCCTTCAGTATAAAGGTCACAAAAAGTTATCGTTCACCCCTTTCTTGCTAGTTGAGTGCAGCTTGGACACAGCCCAGATTTGAGTCAGCTATGCCAAGTAGTACAGAGTAGGTTATCTGGTTTAATTTGTTTCTATTGCCATCTGGCTGTAAGTGGTAGAGGTAGACAGATTTCCAAAAAAAAATCTTAAGTCAGTATGACAGTATAAACAGTGTAAGACTGTGAAACAATAATGTTTAGAAGTTAAGCTCCTCTTAGTCATGTAAATTATGAAAATTCTGAGAATTGCATTGTAGACTAGAAGCCTGTATCTATGACACCATTTTCTTTAGTTAATAAATGGGCATTCCTTATCCTTCTATTGCAGCTTTTATATATGTTGGACAATTGTTTCCTTCTGGTTGTTGTAGGAATAGAATTAACTTTGCTTTAGGATATTGTTCTTCTATTATTCGAAGAAAGCATTCAACAAACTCATGAAGATTCTTTTCATGATGAGGGGAAAATAATACAAAACTAGTATTGAGCTATTTTTCTTAAACTCTTTGCAGTTAAAGTGATTATAAAACCCCAGGACAGGCTTAAGGGTAATCCATATGAATATTGTTTTCATCAAAGCAATAGGTCTTTGGTGGAGCAAAGTCATCTGCTTTCACTCCGTTGCCTAAGGACTGACTTTAGAAAGGCATACATCAAGTAAGTGGAATTATTTTCTTCCAATTCCCTTAAAGTTCACTTTTTACCAGTAACTACTTTTAGGCATCTTATATAAGTAAGAATGTACACTTTTGAACATTGCTACTGATGGATTTTCCTCTTTCACTTGGACTCTTAGGAATATGCTGTCTTTGTGCCTAAAACACAGAATGAGGTTAAAATAAGCTATGCTTCTCAATGCAGTAAAGAAATCAGAACTATAAACAAAATAATATGATTATTTTGAAAGACATGACAAAATTGATGTGAATGTGGACATGAGAGTGGCCATTAACCCTATGTATGGAAGAAAGCTGAAATGTATTCTTTTAAAGATATATCCTGTTCCTTCTTTTGTTATTTGGGATGTAAACTTAGCAGCAGAAGCAATGTGATTTTTTTATGCCAAGGATGGGTGGAAAGAGTTGAAGAAACAGGGATACTGTGATAGCAATAAGTGACCAGCACTTGTATGGTCCACCCTCCACTTTTCTACAAACAGAGCAAAATGAGGGCTCTGTGGCTTCACAAATGTTGAAGCACCTACACAGGTGACATTCTCTGAGTAAGGTGCATTAATCGAGTGCAAGCTGGATCTTCCTAACATTTGTCTTAACTCAGAAAATTTACAACTCACTCTTCAGGCTGGGTACTGGAGAGAGGAATTTAATAGCCGAGTTGACTCTGGGTTCTGTTCAGATGCAGCAGTCTTCAAACATGAGGAGAATATGCTTTACATAAAAATCTAGATGGGCAGATGAAAGAGTTTATATGCAAGTTTCTGAAAAGTAAAAAATGGAACTGCTAGTCTCAGTTGCTAACAGATGGAATTGTGCTTGACAGTTTCCTACAAAATAGGGTAGAGATATTCATGGCACAAAATTCTAGAGGAACCACTGAAAGAGAGAAGACTCTCCACGTCCCATTGGCTATTTAGCCTCATGTATCTTCCCTTTTACCATTGTAAAAAGACCAGGTTAACTGCAGATGTTAACCACTGTATAATTTCAAAATCATAATGCTCCATCTTTAGTTAAGGTAAGAAATTTAAAGTATTAGACAGAGAGAAACTGAGGAGGAATATCTTCATATAGTACTGAAGACCAAATATAACCTCAGACATATACAGTAATGCATGTATAGGACAAAAATGGTATGTAATAAGTTTAATATTTACTATAGGATGATATGAAAAGTGGAGATCATCATAAATATTCTGGTTCTTTTTGTTTATACTTGGTGGTAGCATTTAAACCAGCGTAGAGGGGTTATAAAATGTTACCAACTCAAGATGATAATGACATGCACTTGCATAATTGATGCAGACAGAAGTAGATTTCAACCTCCTATGTTCCTAATATATATTTACCTTAAAGGACAAAGCCAAGGAAACAAATATAGGAGCTTAGAAATCAAATAATTCAAGTAGTAACAACAAGTAGGGAAGCTTTATTATTCATACAATTATACTCAGATCAACAAATTCTGCCTTATTCACAGTTACTTTAGCTTGGTGTCTATTACACTGATCAGTCTAACAGATTTCCACAGGAGACAGTGTTCTAGTTTTTAGTTCTCTTAATCACCTCTTTTCTTACGTAGCTTCTTTCAATGATGCTGTCAGCAAGGTGATGCCTAGTTCCAATTAGAACTGCAATCAATATTCATGTAATGAGGGTGCAGCAAAACCATGATGGATAAAAATTTGACTAAAGTATGAAAAAATAAGAACATCAAAAGCACCATACTGGGTCATACAAATGATCCATCTAGCCCAGTATCCTATCTTTGACAGAAGTGGATGCTATAGAAAGAGAGCATTGAACTAGCTGACTCTAGAATGATCTCTCCACTACTCAGCAACCTTCTAGGCAGCCACCATTATTCATTTAGAGATGCCAAAGGAAACATCTCCAACTGTTGGCTACAAATGTCCAACTCGGGATCCTTACAATTCTGGTTTATTAGGCGGATTGAAGCACTGTAATGAAGTTAAATCATAAACCTTGGGGCTGGTCCCCCC